TGATGAAATTTGAATATCACAGTAGATCTTGATTAAGGATTATTCAGCAGTATCGTAACTTTGACAGGTTCACAAACACTAGCCAGTTAATTATCAGTCTCCCAGTGTGATAAATATCACTGGTTGAGTAACAAGCACTCACCTGGTTGTCCAAAACACAAAAAGAAGAGGTTTCATCAAACCATGTGATGACCCAAGCAAGTAACACAAGTAACCTGCAATCCTTATACAGTAGACAGGCAGAGATAGGCATATTCTGGGAATGACGCAATACACCTGAGGTTTGGAGGACTTGTTAACTCACTCAGTTAAACAGTATAACTCTTCCTGGAGGAGCTCAGAGTCAAGAAAACCTGCACCAGCTTCCAATTTTCTGTTTTCAAAGCATCAGAACAGCAAAATCTGTTCAGTTATTAAAATATTACAAGAGAATGTAATTATTAAATCATATTTCTGAATTTCATACCAGAAGACGACATTCCTTGTCTTGTTTCAGAACATTTAAACACACTGCATTCCATTTAAATCAAATTTTGAATGATAGAGTTGGAGACCCACTAAACAACAAATTTCATTATCTTTCTTTTAATATTTCAGTCACTAAGAAAGTTGTTTGCTTTTTAAAATCTGTCAAGATAAGATGAATTTTGATTATCCCTAGTCAAAGTTCTTTTCATGGTCTAAGTAGAAATTAAGACTAGGTGGCATTGCCAGACAGTCAGCCCTTTCTGTTCACATTGCATTGTAATCATATCATGACAACCCCTTTGGTGGGAGCCTCTTTAATGTTGACTTTAAAACCTGTAGTTCAAAAGCATTCAGATGGGATTGATGTGTTTTTAAATGGCATTAGCTTCCATTATGAGTAATAACTCAGCTGATTAAACAGTGTGCATACATGGTATTAGGGCAATACACATGAATTTTCATGTTTCTTGTATTTTTCAAGAAATTTAAACATTGCAAAAGAAACTCAGTTCCTTCCTCTTGAAAACTCTGCTCACATTAGTCAAAATCCACTATGTTTTAGTGAAAAAAAATAGTGTTGAATCCCCAATGATTAAAAAAAGAACAAAAACAAAACAAAACAAAAACCACAAAACCAACCAACCAACCAACAAAAGGCTATCTATTAACTTCTGGGGGGAAAAACCTTTGCTATTACTAATTGGAAAGAATTATAAGCAATTAACATTTATATTCTTTTGGATTTGTCTCTGGAATCTGCTTGTCCATTCTTGCCTCTACAGTCCCAAAAGCTCTGAATCATAGCCAACTTTCTCTTGATATAGTTACAAAAACATCTCTGCGGGGACCATGAATTCTACTTCCAGTGTGCTGCAGCCTGGGGAGGAGAACACTTTTTTAGTGTAAGGTTCTACATATGTTCAAACAGGAGAAGTAACCCAGATTATCTGCAAATCTGGATGTCCATGTGACAAGATGCCTTCACTAAACTGCTAGAGCCTGCTCAATACTCTCTGCTATCATTGTATCACGCTTAATCAATGGCAAGGTTAATTGTTCATTGTGTGCTTAACCCTGAGAAAAGGTATCGCTGTAATAAACCCACCCATGGGACTCTGCATTGTGCTTCCTTTGTTCCTCCAGTCTCCTGTGGTCTGTTATATAGTGGTTTCATACCAGCATCTTCCAGGGACAGATTCTCCTCTGGGAGAAGTGGTCTCTAGCCTTATAGCAAAAGGGAATCCTCCCATTTTTACACACTACTCAAGGGATTTAAATTTCAAGCTTCACTGATTGCAAATGAGGATGTGCCTGAGGCCCAATCTGCGTCTTTTGAAAAATTATGTCTTGCAATGTACCAAAGGTTCCCTATTCCTACAGAAGTCAATAGATGTTGGAAGTGTTCAGGAGCACTGACCTTTGTAACATACTAGTCCAACATCTATTGACCACCTGAGAGAGAAGTGCTTGGGAGATGTGTTGTTTCTGAATGTTCTCCGGAATTTTTGAGCAGGGTTCTGTTTGACCTTGTTAGTACAACAGCAGTGTAAATACACCTCTTTTAATAAAGCATTTTACTTAGCGTTGGTCTGAAAATACTCTGTAACAGAAATTTCTCAGTGATTCAATATGAGATAAATTGAGATCCAAGCTATCAAGTGCAAACTCCTGAGAAACTCCATTTACTACCTGCAAATCTGTAAATCTCTATGTCTGATCTGTCAGAAGTAATGGGGAGCTATGCATGATAAGAGCAACGGGTAAAGGCAGAACAGCATAACCATGCAGTAGCAATCTTGAGTTCTACAATTAACAAAGAATCTCAGTAAAATGCTACCCATTGACAGACTCAGTAGAAGAAAATATGTTAGAGTTCAGACCTCAAGGCTGCTAATGCTTGATTGGCAGTAAGCATTTTAAAACAGGGGCAGAATCAAAATAAATGGTTTCAGCCCAGCTTGAAATTAATGCACTGTGTGTAGAAAGGTTTTCTTGATGCCACAGGAGGGTCATTTCTTCCATGTGTTATACCTTAGAGAAACTTCAGAATTATGTCAACCCAATCCCTATAATTGGTTGCTAGACTAAATCTTAATGTCAAACAAACTCAGTGCCATACACTCACCAACTCCTTTTCAATAACAAATTAGGCTCGCAAAGCACACCTTAACCCTCCTCCCAGGTTCCTTCCTTGACACTCTTAGCAGTTGGGTGTTAGTTTTTCATTTGTGCTATCTTTTCCATGTAATCATTCTCTCCTTCACAGGGAACAAATCTCTTGAAAATCTCCCTTTTTATTGAGTTAGAGACTGTGTATCTCACAGATCATCTTGAATCTGGTGATGTTATTCTATAGTCTACTCGGTTTTTATCTAGAGCACATCTGAACTTCATTTCTCTGTATAAATTCAGACTTGCACTGAATGCAAAGGAAACTACTGATGCCACAAAGATATTCAGTGAGGTTTGTAAAAAAACCCCAAAACTACTGGTACTCGGCTGTCTCCCACCACAGTGTGAAGGAACAGTTGTGGCTGTAGCACAAGACATATAAATCAGCAGAGACTTTTATAGTACCTCATATTCCATTGGTGCTGTAGGCCTCTAGGTCTGCATACTCACTTGTCTGACTTTTTCTCATGCAGTTTCTTGGAAAGGGTGTGGACATCAAGGCTTGCACCCTGTTTGGGGTGCTGCTCTATCCTACACTCAGCCTGTTAATTTCAAGTTGAACATGCAGCTGCCAAAATATCTTTATAGCATTCAGGAACTAACTTGAGTTTTCATCACCTCAATGCCCTGTTATTCCAACCACCACATCCAACAACAGAGCATTCTATTCTCTCCCATTTTTATCTGCAAACTAAATATAAATCACAGCCACTATCCATATTTTACAATTTGCAATTACTGGCATGTATGTCATGGCTACTTCCTTAATTAAATCTGTGATTTATGTAGTCATTTGCCTTGTGTTGGAGTGTCTCAGAGGCTTCCACAATAATCTGTGAAAATTGCTAAATTAAAATACACCCAGGTTAGTAACTGGAACTATTCCTCATTTGTTGTGGTGAATGTTTGTGAAGAGGAGGAAAATTTGATTCTCATATGCCAGGTCGTGTGTCTCTACTACTGAGTTTTCCTGGGAATGTCCCTGCCATTGTCTTGCAAATCTCTGTAGTCCCACCACTTTAAATCCAAATTGCTTCAAATGGCTTTACTGATGTTGTTCAGGTGAATGAAGACAGATTTTTGATTGTCTGAGTCAAATCCTGCAGTCTTTACTTAAACTTAAACTCCAATTAATCCTGAGGAGTTACAGACTGCGTAAAGACACAAAAATGTTTGAAGGAGGAAGAAAAGGAAAAGAACCCTTTAACTGGCTGTTAATTGTTACTTGAAATAGCCTTTTACTTTTCTGAACCATTATAAGAAAGAGGGTACTTGTAAACAGATAGGTAATGCATACCGAGGTTTAATAAATGTTGTATTTTGTTTCATTTGCTTTAAAAGGAGGGATATTAGGGTTATCTCACTTAAAGAGCATTTCTCCATTAGTAAATATTCATTATTTTTAATGCAGGTCTCTGTCTAAAAGGCATTTACCTTGAGAGAGCATTTTTGCCATAGCCCTCCTCTTTCCTTCTGCTTTTTCTCAAACACACACAAGTAAGCTTGCTTGCCAGGCAAAGTGTCTCTGTCTACCAGGCCTACCTTTGATGGTGCACACTCCTGAGAAGAGTTAAAGGTATATTTTACTGATTTTAGTATCCATTTGCACTTAATTTGTTATTGTTTTGAAGAGAGGCGCTAGGACCTTCGCTCCTTCTGCGAACGCTGAGCCTATGGCATTAAGCATGGATGTGAAAGCCTCATGTGTCTTGAATACTCAGTGGATCTAATTAACAGGTAGAATCGCACCCTGGGTGCTTGAAAAATTGCCAGACACCATAGAAACGAGTCCTTAAGCCCCCGCACCATCTGCACCTTCTTTTCATTGTGGAAGTCTTATTGAAAGATGTTTTTCGACCATTCTAAATTCATTTCTGCGTTGATGGAATATTCCCGCTGATGGTTTTCCTTTTCATTAAAACAAAAAAAAAATCATAAAATTCTTTCTTTCAATCGTGGAAAAAAAGAATCTCTCAAGCTTGGATGAAATAACGAATGTTTGAATTTGCCTCTTAATACTGGTTGTTTGTATATCATTGCCACAACCTCCTTAAATTGCTTTTTAAAGGAAAAAGAAACCGGCACGAGATCCCAGGAGGTAGGGTGAATCAATGTGCACCATCACATCCGCCTTTCCACATTTCAAGCAAGTGTGCCTTTCTGTTTTTTTAAACGTCAGTGCCTCTGAAGCATGGGCGGGTTGGGGGGTGAGGGGGTAGCCCTGGCTGCGGCGGGCCCGGTGTCCTCCCCTGCCCTTGGTTCCCGTGGGGGCTCAGTGGCTCGCTCCCCCCGCCGCCGCCCCCCGGCCGCCCCTCGCTTGCGGTGGTACAGGACCCTAGGGCTATTTAGGTCATAGTTACCTGTTAGCTGCCAGCCGGGACGAGATATACCCGCCGGGAATTTGGGTGATTATATACCCCCAGAAAAAAGAGCCGTGGATCATGCCAACTGTTTCAGGATCCCAATTAAACTTCGCTTTCTTCCAATGCAAGGCACCGGGAGAGAAGGAGAGAAAGAGAAGAGGAAGGCTGTAATCGTGCCAGATTAAAGCATTCACCCGCAGTAACTTCACGCCGGGCAGTCGAGGGGGATGTCTAACGCCGGAGGCGGCACTCGGCGGATGGGGCACAGGGACAAGGACGCGGGGCACCGGGCGTTCCAAGATGCTCGCTCTGCGTTAGCAAATGCTCCAGGCTGCCCGCCAGATAAACAAGCAGCAAATCAAACTCAACCGTAGCGATAAAACCAGCACCGTCCGTCGTCCATGACTCCGCGGGACAGGAGAGGGGCAGGGTCCCCCCTTAAGCGAGTGTTGCCCCGTGTGCCCCGAGCCGGGGCAGGGCCTGCGCATACCTGGAGAGTGGCTGGGACCCTCGGGACCACCCGGCTTCTGCACCGCTTCAAGGCCGGGTCTCAGGGCTTGCAAATGCATCCCTGTGCCGTCAGGGAGGGTGGGGCGAGGCATCCCCTGCCTCCCTGCCTGCATGGCCGTGGCTGTAAGCACCTACCTCTCACCTGTGCAAGGAGGAAGCTATAGGGGTTTGTTTGTCTCTGGACTTATATATTTAACACTCATCTGTATTTAGTCATCACCTCTTTCTCGCCAGGCAGTAACCCGCTTTTAAGCGGGTCTCATCATTTAACGCCTTTTATCTACGCAAATTCTTTCACCCTGATGTTTTCAAACATTCCTGCACAACCTCCCCGTTTCCGTCACAGCGCGGCTTATCCGCTGACAGCTGTTTCTTCGACGCTTTCCTCCCCCATCCCCTAAATTTCTTTTACGATATATCTGCGGTTTTAAAGGTTGTGTGCAAAAGGGAAGAAAAAAAAGATGTGCCCGTAAATTAGTACCGCAAAAATGGCGCTGGGATAAGAAAAGGAAAATAGAAATAACCGGTAGAAATTGTTTCTCCTTCAGGAATGGGTTTTGGTTGGTTTTTTTTCCCTACGAAGGGCGGTGCGAGCGGGGCCGCGCGCCCCTGGACCGGGGAGCATCGGGCTGAATGGGGAGAAATGCTGCCGAACCCTCCTGGCCTGAGCTACGGTGCTTGACCTGGGAGCTGTATGGAGCGGACTCGGGATTTACAAGGGAAGTGTTCCCACCTCTTTAATAATTTTTCCTCCTCGGTGTATGGTGCTGTTATTGACCATATCCACGATGGCCACTCCCAAGTTGCATCGGATCCCGAAGGAAATGCAGAATCCCAGTCCACTCATGATAGCAATGATGTATCTCCGGGGCAGCCCGAAGCAGGTACAGTCACAGAGCGGAGCTTTCTTCTCGGGCATTTCCATGGGCTTTCCATCTTCAGTCAGCTCGATGGTGTCCCCGGGCTTCTGCCTCTTTTCTAGGACCCTGTCCGACACAACAAAGGGAAAGTCAAGCCCCGGCCGCCTGCACAGCCACTTCGAGTAGATGAAGGCTTAAGTTCACTGCCCCATCCCCCCGCCCCTTTGGCTCGGTTTGGGTTGATTTGAGGACTTATTCCTTGTTTACCATTCACCTTCAGCTGTTCTTTAGCAATGACCTGTGGGAGTACGATTAGTCATCCCCAGCTCCCCCCACAACCCCGCCGCACAAGCCGAGGGAGGAGCTCTAGCTGAGAACTGCTCATCTATCATTAAAGACTTCTGCCTAAATATGTAGGACGCATTAAGAAGACATCATCTGTAACCACTGCAGAGGCGCCATGTTGGGTAGCCCAAGAGGCATAGTATGAAAAGCGAAACAGTCTTTTGGAGAAGGTTTTTTCCCCTCCTTGCTGTATTAAAAACACCAAGGGGGCTGATCTTGATGTGCATCTCGTTTCTGGTCAGGGGACAAAAGAAATGTTAGCAGAAAGAGAGGAGGGGGCGATGTTGCTACTTATTTTAGATGTGCAAAATGGCTGTCACATGCAGTGGAAGAAAACATGACTGTCTTTACAGAACTGGCAGCTCAGGTGAAGTCTTTCCGAAAGATCGCATCTGCTGAGCTACACGCTGTGAGCGTGTGATGGCTTAGCAGGTTTAACCTTCCCAGATCAGCTTTAAGCCCGATCTCATAGCTTCCACTCCCTTCTTTTCACACGGGAATCCTACCTCCTGGAAAACAATGTGCAGGAATCTGAAAGGGAATGGTTATTTGCAGCTATTTCGAATCAACAGAAAAATACAGAAAAAAACCCCGTCATCTATGAAAGGCGACTCAGAACATTTAATTTTATTTCTTCTTTGATGGAAAAGCTTTAAAAATGCCGTGCCGGTGGTAAGAAAGATCGGGTTTATCGAGCAAATGTCCCAAGCTGAATCTCTTAGTCTTCTTTTGTAGTCACAGAGATATTTAAAAGACAGGAACACTAACCACTTCTATCCTAGCTACGTCTTGTGAGCAAGTATGTGACCATTTTCCGACATTCTGGACTCTCATCGCTGCCCTAACCTCGGCTCTGGGAGTGTTTTCTCACGTCAGAAATTCTCCTTGGAGGAGCATCTCTTTGAGGTTAACTCATCCGGCTAATGGGGCAGTAACAATTAGCAGAATCAGGCTCTAAATGTACTCCATGTTTTGAGGAAAATGTAAGGATTTTCTCCATTTGTTACTCAGTTGAAATTCTCCCGATTTTTCTTCTCTGGGAGAATTATTTCTATGCTTAAAGACCACAGCTTTAATAAATGTCTTAAATTCGTGAATAAAATAAAACACCGTGGTTTTTTGTTCAAAATTCGTTCGTGTGAATAAAGGGTGATGTAGAAGTGTTTTCTCCCTGAATGGGCTTCTTGTCTTCGGGAAGACAGTAGAAATCAATGTGTAAAGGACAGGAAAACTGTTTTAATTCTAAGAATCGGAAACAAAATATTTCAATTCCGTGGTTTAAAAAATATTAGTAAATCGAGTATTTGTTAATCAAGAGATGAGTTCAAACGGAGTTTTGCCGGAAAATTCAAACACCATTTCTCCATTTTTCACTGTGTGACTTTATAAAAAGCAGTAGACATGATCATTTTATTTACATGTTGTAGAGTCTGGTAGGGTGAAAAAGAGGTTTATTTCCTTAATTATATTTTAAGTAGTTATTCTGGATTATCAATATTTCTTTTTCTTTTTCTGACCACCGAAAATGACTAAAATATGACCAAAAACTGTAGACTATTCACTGCTTTTTTGATGGCCTTGTTTTTTGCTTTCGGCTTTTCAAAATTGTACCTTCCTACAAAAATGGACACTTTAGTTTTGTCTTTATCACATCACTGCTATGTCCTCTTTCCTGAAAATGGCAGCAGAAGTTGTGACTCACACTGTGCAACAGCCTTGTGCCTGTGCCCAACAGTGCCGCATAGGTATGGGAAAAAAGATTTTTACGTGACCTACCCTAGGCAGATAAATCCGCAGCTACCTGTATTTTGCAATTCGGGAAAAAAAAAAACCAAACCCCAAAAAAACCAAAACCCAAACAGAAAAACCACAAAAAAACCGAAAATTAAAAACCATACCAACCTCCCTCCCCTCCCCAAAAGAAAAACAACCCAAAAACCAAACCAATTGCGAAGTAATTTCTAGCAGAGAGGACAATCGAAAATATATTGGCATTTCACAGACTATTCTCAAACGTCCTGGAGGTCACTAAAGTCACCAGATTGGATGTGTCAACTTTAGTGCATACACTTTTTAAGCAAGAGAGAATTTGGGTTTGTTAATCTGTGTGTACAAGGGTCAAAGACGATATAAATGTTCTGTACACACAGAAAGATACTACTGAGTGGTGCTTTTGGGTTTAGCAATTGCAGTTGTGTATTACTTATAAGACAAGTGGATGCTTCTCAGTGCAGACTGATAAATAATTAAACACATCTCTCTATATGTTTCAGCTTCAGCAGAAAAAAAATCGTTCCGATATCAATTATTTATACATCTTCATGTTTATCTTCCTCTGACGACAGATTGCACAAGGGGCAAGACTAATCGAATCCAGGAATAATAATAATAATAATTAA